CTCAATACCTCATTCATGAGGCCAACTTTATGAGACAATTTCTCATTTAATTCTTAATGGTTTTTGGTCATTCTTTTTGTGGTGTAAAGATCTTGTTACAAAGAATCTAAACCTATTTAATCCCACCTTAACCAATGGTTGGAACCTACTTTAATTTCACATTAAAGTCACCATAAAACCATTTTTCCAAACAATCCTCCACATGAATAAAAATTGACCGAATAAAGAAAATGGACAACATTTACAATGACTTGGAGATAGAGCACACAGACTAACCCTGCATCAAAAAAGGTAGCTGTTGGCCTTGAACCTTTCGTAGTGAAAGCCTATCGAATTTACTGGCTGACCAGTGAACGTGATGTCTTGAACTGTTCTGCCATTTGTGTAAATTGAGACAATAAACCTCACACAGGAGTTAGTCCAACCATTGTTCTTGTTCTCACTGGCATGTCTGGTATGGCTCTAGAACACTAGCCTGGTTCAGTGAGTGTTTTTTAAAGAATTCAACCTTGTCAATTCTTAAAGAAGCGGCCCCACATCGCATTCACTTAGGTGACCTATATAAGGTATCTCATTATATCATGGTTGATTATTCATATCGCTTAGGTCATTAAAAGTATTAGCTTAACCTTCAACCCCCACAGAGTATCACTATACAAATGAATGGGCAAGATGATTTACCTCTTCAGTAACTCACCCGTTACACGAAGTTAGGTTGTCCCTTTGAACCTAGATCTTGGGATCTCCAGTCAACTAGGTTGGGTTTTCCGTTCCGGTAACATTACTAAAGGCCTTAACCCCATTCCACTTGACGACATTTCTACTAACTCTCGAGTTAACTTTTTGGTTAGCGAATCCGCAATCTTGTCCTTAGACTTTACATAGTCTAGAGAGACAAATCCATTAGAGAGTAGTTGTCGTATGGAATTATGTCTACGACGGATATGTCTAGACTTTCCATTATACATATTACTTTATGCCCGTCCAATCGCCGATTGGGTATCACAATGAATACAGATAGTTGGCACATGTTTTGGCCAATGTGGAATATCCTCAATGAACTGGCGAAACCATTCAGCTTCTATAGTTGCTTTATCCAAAGCAATAAACTTAGATTCCATCGTTGATCTCGATATACACGTTTGCTTGGAAGATTTCCAAGGCATGGCTCCCTCTCTGAGGGTAAACATATAACCACTAGTGGATTTGGAGTCCTTTATATCAGATATCTAATTAGCGTCACTATACTCTTTTAGTACCGCTGGGTGTCTGGTATAATGCAACCCATAATCCTAGGTGTAGCGTAGATAACCTAACACCCGCATAATGCCCTGTAGACACCCCGTTTTTGACCGACCTTAAGACTCAGACGTCACGAGTTGCGCACTCGGTGATATTGCATGTTGCGCTTGTTCAGAAGCCTCAGAGTCGCGGCTGCGAGCCCTGCCTCCGGACTTCCGAACCCTCTTCTGTGCCCTGCCTCGGTTTGCGAACCAGACTCGGTTTTCTCTATTTCTTTTCTTGAGGGAAGAGAGAGGTCCCGTAGACCATCTCTCAGTGGCCGTGGGCTACATTTTGTGGCCGTAGGCCATTTTACCCATTTCGGAGCCCGGTTTCCGGTTTTTCGGGACTGTTGGCCGTGTGCCTCGGTTCGGGACCGCCTAACCATCTCCGTTTGCCCCGATTTTTGGCATACTTCTTATTTGCTCCCTTTTGAGGGACACTGGGGTCTCGGAAACCCACTTCGTGGCCGAACGCCACTTTCGGTGCTTAACAGCCCATTTTCGGGATCCCGAATTGCGTGTTTTGGCCCCCGAGCTTTCGTTTTGCATCGGTTTTTGTTCATTTTTGGCAGGTACCTCTGTTTCATCACTAGGAATGCCATGGAAGGGTGGGAGGCCAGTAATTGTTGCAGCAACCAGTTATATCTCCTCCGGTGCCCTCCGACGCCCGTTTTTCCAACTTCCGGGCTAATGTTGAACACCCTTGGGTCACTGTTGCCAACTTTCAACCACATATCTGTGATCTAGACATCTGGGAGGATCCTAAAAGTTCATGGCCGGCCAGTAATTCTTCTTTCACTTTTTGACCCCCCTCTTTGAGGCTAATGTTGAACACCCTTGGGTCACTGTTGCCAACTTTCAACCACATATCTGTGATCTACACACCTGGGAGGATCCTAAAAAGTGGTGGCCGGCCACTAATTTTTCAGGACCATTTTGCCCTTGGCCGGCCGGCTAGGGGAGGTGGCCGGCCGGCCACCTGGAGCTCAAATAACCAGCCGGCCATGTTCCTCTCAACATCTACTTTACAGCTGTATAGCTGTTTCCCCCGGAAAATATCTCAATCCGGGGGATATTTTGTGGGGGAAAACTTGCCTATTTTTCCCCCACATTTGCCCCTCCTTTACTCCCTCTTTTTTGCCCTTATAACCAGCAGGCAACATCACTTGTAAGGGTTAGAAAATTTGGCCTTCAAGCTTGATACACAAATTCCTCTTCCATCTCTCTCATTTCCTTGAAATCCCTAAGTCCTACACCTTGTTTTCTTCATCACCACCAAGCTCTACCACCATCACTCCATTCCAGCAGTAAGGAGAGGAATTCCAGCAGCTAAGAGTCATCAAAGTTGGTCCAAGAAGCAACAAAAGAATTGATCTTCAAGGGTAAGTCCACTTTCCCTCTTTTTGAGCTCATTTTTGCAACATTTCTCTAGCTATCTTGCTTATTGTTTTGAGCTCCGACCAAAACTGAAAAGGTCATTTGTTGGAGCTCATTTTCATGTCTCATTAAGGGCTCAACCCTGTTTGAGCCCTCCATCTTGAACTTGCTTCAATACCCTCTTTGAATGCCATTTTCTTGCATGACTTGGCAGCCTATTAGGCTTCTGTTTTTGGTCATTTTGAAGAGCTATAAAAGGTCTTATTTTGGCCCATTATTCATGTTTCATTAAGGGCCTTTCATGATTTGAGGCATATTTCATACACTTCATGTTATATCTCTCATTTAATCCCCATTTTTGCATGATTTGTTGGCCTATCTTGCTTCTATTTTTGGTCATTTTACAGAGCTAGAAATAGTCTTATTTTGACCCCATGTTCATGTTTTATTAAGGGTCTTTGGCTGTTTGGTGAATGTTTTGTATACCTCATGTTATAGCCACTTTTGACCCCTATCTTGCATGGCATTTCTAGCATGTTTGTATACTGTTTTGGGGTTTTTACAGTTCTGTAAACAGTCATATTTTGGTCCCTCTTCAATGTTGTAGAAGGGAATTTTTCAGTTTGGGCTGTGCATATACCACTTGCTTCTTTGGCCACCTTTCGGCTCATTTTCTTGCATGAGACAGCCATACCTGTGCTGGTTTTTGGGGTTTTTACAGTTCTGGAAAACATCATATTTTGGGCCCCTCTACAACTTCGTTGAAGGGCCCTAACCTGTTTGGGGACAGCAGCTGTGAGTTGCTTCTTTATCTCCCTTTTAATCCCCCCTGTTTAGGGACAGAAGCTGTGAGTTGCTTCTTAATCTCATGTTTAATCCCCATTTTTGCATGCTAGTTTTCCCTTGTTTGTGTTCACTGTTTTGCCATGCTATAAAATGGAAAAGTGCTTATTTTGGGACTGCCTTGCTTCTGTATTTACATTCCATGTGCCAATTTTGCATATTTGGCATAGCTATAGGCCATTTCGGGTGCCAAAATCCATGTTTCGGGACTATTCCATGCATCGGGTGTACTTTCGCCTCATTTTGGGGCTGCTTTCCCCCACATTTCAGTGCTGAAATCCCATTAGCATGTTTGCATATCATTCCATGTCATTTGCATTGCGTATGCCATTGCCTCGGTTTGCGTGCCCGTGTGCACGCATTTTGAGGCACCTCATTTTCATCCACCGGCCTCTTATGTGAGTGTGGCTGAGGCTCTCTCATGTTAGTATAAGTCCACGTTGCATTCTGTATGCCATTTTAGCCATATTGCATTGCGTATGTCATTTTCTTGGTTTGCGTGCCCGCGTGCACGCATTTCGAGGCATCCCATTTTCACAGCATAGTGCATATTAGGTTGTATCTTAGATCGCATTCATGCATTCCCTCGGTTTGCGTACCCGCGTGCACGCATTTCGAGGCATCCCATTTTCACAGCATAGTGCATGTTAGGTTGTATCTTAGATCGCATTCATGCATTTCCTCGGTTTGCGTGCCCGCGTGCACGCATTTCGAGGCATCTCATTTTCATAGCATTGCGCATGCTAGGCTGTATCTTAGTCACATTTCATGCATGTCATGCATATTGCATCGTGTTCGGGATAGGAGTTAGCCCGGGCACGGGAAACGAGGTGCGTTTCGTACTCCGAGTGACGGAACGCGTCTCAATTCCCCAGTCACCGACACTCCGGATTATCTATGATGGAGTTAGGTTTTATTGTGTTTTCATGTGCATTCATCCTATATTGAATTGTGCATTTCGACTCCTCGGCCATCATGCCTCGGTATGCGTGATTGGTGGCACGAGGATCGAGGCATGCATATATCTGTGAAAATACATTGCTATGCCCCTTTCCTGCTCTCTGTTGCAGCAAAATGAAGAATCAACAACTTTTCGGAGCTCGGCACGCTTTCCAAGAATAACTGCTAAACAGAGGCTAATTGGGGCATCCCGGTGGATTTCCGCGCAAGACAACCCGGACATGCATCATCCATCAGAAGCAAGGCAGTCCCTGGCTTGCATGCCAGTTTTATTTATTTTCTTAGTTATTTGTTAATTAATTAGAAATTTGTATATTATTCGGACTGTAATATTCGGGACTGTAATATTCTTTTATTTAGGACTGTATATTTATTCGGACCCTCTGCGCGAGGGCATAATTGTAATAAGTGTGCGTGAGTGTGATGTATGTCTTCCAACCCCACGTCTTTCTCCCTTTGTTCTAAATTTTACAAGTAAAAAACCATCATTGAGGAACCTTTTCTTCATCTTTCCACTCTGATCAGTTCAAAGTGTTGCATATGCTTTAACAAGTCTGTGAATCAATATGATCTCAAACACCCAATATTTCTCTCCCAAATGCCACTTTGGAGAACAAATATTAGATGTAATGGTAACACTATCTACTTTAGGACCGTTCTTGGAAGCTGAGCGACCTAGACAAGGCTGCAGGGTTAGCCCACAACGCAAAATTGGTTTCTGGTGTGTGATTCTTTTCACCACCCTTTGGTTGGAAGGCCTTGAAAAGGCCTCCTCTGCTCATCATTGAAGAATCACTCTTAATCCCAAGTGTTGCCCATATAGAACTCCTTCCAGCTTCATCAGGGTCATCAATCCTTGTAGTTTTTGGAATCAAAATGGATGTCTCTGAATTTTTCTTAATCAAGTCTCCATCTCTCGAATGTTTCCCTAGAGTCGGTGAATTTTGGTTTGGAGCAGAGCTTGGCATGTTTTGGTTTGTTGTAGGAGATGGTGAAGGCAACCATGGAACTGTCCAATAGGGGGTGGCATAGAATGGCATTGGAAATCCAAACAAGCAAACAGCTGGTATAGGAGCAGCTGAATTCCAATAAGGCCATGGAATGCCAAGGAGGCAAGGGATTTGGGAAGTGAAGCCATTTAAATTCCCCATCATTGGCTCTTGAATCCCGTTTCTCACTCCTTCCTCTGTCGAATTTAAAGTTGTGACAGTTGATCCGCTAGAACAATCATCGCCATTTTGTTCAACTTTATAAAACCCATTGGGGATTCCATTAGGAGCCTTTTGTTTCTCAGCAAGATTTAAGACAGAAGCCATGGATTCACAAAGTGGTGCTTCTAGGCCAAAAGAGAGAACCATGCCATTGCTTTTGAGCGTAGGGTTTTGAAATCCATTTGCAGTTGCATGTAAAGCTTCAGAGATGGTGATGTGGCGACAATGCATGGACGAGTTCTTGTTCTTGCGCCGACCAGCTCCTATGGGCACGTTCCTCATTGTACCACCAGCTGTCCAGTATCTCTGACAGCTCTTGCAAAAATGACGGGGTTGACTGATATTGTAATTGTTGTAGTAACAGAACTTTGTGTCCATGCTATTACAGCGGGGGCATGGAAGAATTTTGTCAGGCTTCTTTAGGGTTTTTTGTTGTGTGTTGTTTGCATCACTTTGGTCATTTTCATTCTTTTGAGGTTTTGCACTTGCATTTTCTTCATCGAGAGACGGTGTCTTAGGGTTATCCTCAGACTCGGGCAATGTTTCTGAAGGTGGAGATTTACCACATTGTTTACTCTCATCGGGCTTTCCTGCTTGTGAATCCTGCAATTTGAACATAATTTTCTATAAGTACAGTTAAAAGTCGATCAAATTCAAATTCCAAGAAAAAGAAAAAAACATATATATATATAGATCTGTCAGATATGAACCTAAGCAAGATTAAAACAAAAACTGAAAAGGATATTTATAACTACACAAAATAGTTTTTCTTTTCTCAGGACAGTATTGACAACAACTTATCATAATTTTTTGGGGTGGCTTATCAAACACAATCCAGCTAGGGCAGTTGGCTTGGAACAATGTTCAAAATTTGCATGTAATTAAGTTAAAATAGAGGGAAAATCAAAGGAAATGCATAGAATAGATTAAAACCATACTTTCAATTTCCAAAGAGATAAAAAAAAAACATACACACACA